ATATAATTGCATTTTCCAGGCCCAATCATCATAGCCCTCACCATTGAACTTCTCGACGGTGAAATTCTTCAGCACCTCCTTGACAAGCGAGCCCTGGTTTGTTCGCGCTCCCCTTGGCGCTGAAAGACCAGAATCTTGGCTGCCGCTACGATCTTGGGCTGAAGATTCACCAGCTCCCGCCGAGGTGTTGCCCGCCATAGCTACCTATAACGAGGATCACTATAACGCAGCTCTGATACCAGCTTGTTGGTGTAAGGGCCTAATAAACTCAAGCTATTAGGACTTAATCAAACTTAAAACCTCTCCTCGGGGTCACCTCCAAGGGTCCCTGGGTGCCTGGTACAATACCAGCCCCTATCCTCGGGTCCGAGTTTGTAGAGAGAGGGATCAAGAAGGACTTAGTCAAAACAGCAAGAGTACCTTGAACGTCGCGCAGCGTGCCGTGCAGACCGTCGGTCGGATTAAGCTGAGAATTCGCTATATCGAAGCTCGCTCCAAGAGCTTTAAAATGAGCCAAGTTGCCTCGCGAAAAGTTCTGCCATCACTAAGTTATGGCTCGGACAGCGTTTGCCTAGCGTTGGAGTGCTAGCATACTAGCGTTGACTCGGGTAGCATTCCGCCGTCGAATAGCGCAGAAACGAAATTCCAGCGAGGAAGGAATTCGCTTGAATCAATTTGACTATATTCAGGTACAAACAGAGAAGGATTAAATAGTTCTAGCTAGCAAGGACCTTGGGAATCAACCTGGGAACAACCAAGGATGATCCCAAATAATTCCAAGCAACAGAACCAACCTGGCTGGACAAAATAGCAGGTGGTAGGTTGGTAAACAACCTCTGGTTCTGTTTTTCCAACCTGGGAAAACAACAACCAGGTTCAGGTTCTAAAAACAGAACCTGTTTTGTCTTTGCCCAACCAGCCAAATGCTGGTTCCGCTGGTTTCCCCTGGCCTTGTAGCATGCAGATACAGACAAACAACATCCAACCTTCACCTAAATTGTACCCCTATAGTGCCTTCCCTGCTACACTATAGTTAACCAAACAAAACAGTACAATTTCGAGTTGGATAGAACTGAATCTGCGCAATCAACTCAACCGAACTGCAAAGCTTCCATCTTGGGTTCCTTTGCGAGCTCGTCCTTTCTGCTTGCACTGTTCATAGCGCGTACAATGTTGTGCCGAAGCGCACATTGCGCGAGTACCTGCAAATGCATCAAGCGAAAAATGCGAAAGCAAACAAACACACGAACACACCATTCACACGCAAATGCATTCGCACACGCATACTCGTACAAACAGACGGCAGGATGTCGTACAATGTGCATTTGCACCCAACAAATGGTACTAATAGTAAGTGCAAAAGTTATCCATGGTAGAGTAAGTGCGTTACTTCTTCCTGTGGATGGTACTAAGAGTAAATGCATTACTTACATATATGGATGGTACTAAGTGTAAGTGGGTTACTTACTCATGTTGATTGTAATAAGGGTAAGTGCGTTACTTCAACATGTGAATGGTACTAAGAGTAGGTGCGTAATTTACCCATGTGAATGGTACTAAGTGTAAGTGCGTTACTTACCCATATGGTTGGTACTGATAAAAAGTGCGTTGTTTACCCATTTGGAAGGTACTAATAGTAAGTACATCATTTACCCGTGTAGATGATACTAAGAGAAAATGCGTTATTTACCCATGTAAATGGCACGAAGAGGAAGTGCGTTACTTACCCATGTGGATGGTACTAATAGTAAGTGCGTTATTTACCCATGTGGATGGTACTAAGATTAAGTGCGTTACTTACTCATGAAGATGGTACCAAGAGTAAGCGTGTTACATATACATGTGGACGGTACTAAGAGTTAGTGTGTTACTTATCCATGTAGATAGTAGTAAGAGTAAGTGCATTACGTATCCATGTAGATTGTAGCAAGAGTAACTCCGTTACTTATCTATGTGGATGGAACTAAAAGAAAGTGCGTTACTTACTTATGTAGATGGTAATAAGAGTAAGTGGGTTACTTACCCACGCGGAGTAAGTGCGTAATTACTCATGTTGATTGTACTAACATAAGTGTGTAAATTACCCGTGTGGATGGTACTAATAGTAAGTGCGTTACTTATCCATGTGGATGGTACTAAGAGTAATTCCGTTGCTTACCCATGTGGATGGTACTAAGAATAAGTGAGTGCGTAATTTTCCCATGTGGATGCTACTAAGAGTGTGTTACTTACCTATGTGGATGGTACTAAGAGTAAGTGCGTTACTTACCCATGTGGATGGTACCAAGAGTAATTGGTTTACTTACTCATCTGGAACTAATAGTGAGTGAGTAATTTCCCATTTGGACGGTACTAAGAGTAAATGCATTACTTACCCATATGGATGGTACCAATAGTAAGTGCAAAATTTAACCATGTGGAAGTTACTAGGATTAAGTACGTAATTATCCATGTGGATGGTACTAAGAGTAAGTGCATAATTTACCCATGTGGATGGTACTAAGAGTAAGTGTGTTACTTACCCATGTGGATGGTTCTACGAGTAAGTGCGTAATTACCCATGTGGATGGTACTAATAGTAAGTGCGTTATTTACCCATGTGGATGGTACTAAGAGTAAGTGTGTTACTTACCTATGTGAATGGAAGTAAGAGTAAGTGCGTCACTTACCCATGTAAATGGTACCAAAAGTAATTGAATTACTTACCCGTGTAGATGGTACTAATAGTGAGTGCGTAATTTCCCATGTAGACAGTACTAAGAGTAAATGTGTTACCTATATGGATGGTACTAAGAGTAAGTGCATTACTTACCCATGTGGATGGTACTAATAGTAAGTGCAAAAATTACCCATGTGGATGGTACTAAGATTTAATGCGTACTTATCCATGTGGATGGAACTAATAGTAAATGAATTACTTACCCATGTAGATGGTACTACGATTAAGTGCGTAATTACCCATGTGGATGGTACTAATAGTAAGTGCGTTATTTACCCATGTGGATGGTACTAAGAGTAAATTAGTTACTTACCCATGTGGATGGTACTAAGAGTAATTGCGTTACTTACCCATGAGGAGGGTACCAAGACTAAGTGCGTTAGATGATACTAAGAGTAGTGTGTTTTTTGCCCGTGGATGGTACTAAAAATAACACGTTACTTACCCATGTGGATAGTACTAAGAGTAGGTGCGTAATTACCCATGTTGATAGTACCAAGATAAAGTGCGTAATTTACCCATCTGGATGGTACTAAAAGAAAGTGCGTTACTTACTCATGTAGATGGTACTAAAAGTAAGTGTGTTATTTACCCATGCGGATGGTACTTATAGTAAGTGCGTTACTTGTCCATGTGGTGTCAGAAAGACTGAGCAGGAATGAATGAACTAACAGGAAGTGTGGTACAAATATGAAACCCTAGTTTGGGTACCCCCTAAGGTGTAACCCACTACAGCCTACACAACATAAACATACAATGTTTGACACACCCCCATAGGCACAGTGGGAGACAACCACAGGGTCATAAGACCAGTCAAAGCAAAGCAAGCTCAGGGTGGATCTCAAGGATACCACACAAATTCTGAGCACAAGCAAGTGGTCACAAGACCAGTCCACATGCAGTTTGATAATATAGCAAGAGATCAAGTGATCACAACCTAGCAAGTGTAAACATGCAGGTATATATATATAGATCACAGTACAAACAGAGTCAAGAAGTAAGCAAGTGAGGTCCAGCAGGCACAAGGCCTAGAAGAGTACAGAAGCGCTGATGGTCACAAGGCTGAAGCGCCTTGGTGAACACATCAGCAATGTTGGCCTCAGTGGCCACGTAACGCAGACGAAGCTGACCGCGCTGCTGCAGCTCTCGAGCAAGGAAGTACCGCAGGGCGATGTGCTTCGTTCTGTGCTCCAGTCTGTGCTTCTCACACAAGGCAATGGCAGCCTTGTTGTCGACGTACAGCACTGGAGGAGAACGAGGCCGCTCTCCCAAGTCGGTCAGCAGGTAGGTCAGCCAGCGTAGCTCCTGGGCTGCCATGGCTGTCGCGTAGATCTCAGCCTCACAACTGGAGCTGAGAACAGAAAAAGAGCGTGTAGAACGCCAAGAAACTGAGCCAGAGCCAAGGCTGAAGGTGTAACCCTGAGACGACCACTGAGTAGCCTGGTCGTCCGCCCAAGAAGCGTCTGAGTGTCCAGTGAGTACAACTCGGTCTCGCCCTCCAAGCACTAGCCCCATGCCCGATGTACTGCACAAGTAGCACAACACCCTCTTAGCGGCATCTATGTGCTCCTTCCTGTGACGGCCAGGAGCGACATAGCGTGCAAGGATGCTAAGAGGGTATGCAAGGTCAGGTCGAGTACGTACATGAGGCAGCCCACAAGCTCTGGATACGGGCCACTCGGCTCTACGGACTCATCCGAAGGCAGAGCTGAGAGCGAGTGACCAGTAGGCAGAGGAGTGGACTGAGGCGAGGAGTACGTGAAGCGGAAGTGCTGAAGGATCTGCTGCACCATGTGTGACTGAGTCAAGGTGATGGTGCGCCGTGCTCTGTCCCGGGTGATCCGCAAGCCAAGATAGCTTGTCAGTTCACCCAGGTCTGTGCACGTGTGTCTCTTCTGCAGCTCCGACTTCACGTGGGCGAGTGCCGCAGTGTCAGCAGTGGCAAAGACCAAGTCGTCGACGTACACGAGGATGTAGAACGGCGACAGCGAGGTGTCGGTGCGTAGAAACAGCGACGGGTCAGCAGTAGAGGGAGCGAACCCAAGAGCCGCAAGTGTCGTCCTCAGTGTGTCGTGCCACTCACGTGGCGCCTGGCGGAGACCGTAGACCGGCCGCTGGAGCCTCCACTAGGTACCAGGAGGAACCGACCCAGTGAAGCCAGGAGGGCGACGCAGCCAGATCTCCTCGTGCAGGCTGCCCTGCAAGAAAGCAGTGCTGAAGTCAAGTGAGTGAAGCTCGTAGTCGCGCTGAGCGGCTATGTGCAGCAGCACCCGAAGAGTGGTTACTTTGGGGTGGGGGAGAAGGTCTGAAAGAAGTCTACTCCCTCTCGCTGACTGAAGCCTCGAGCAACGTAGCGCGCCTTGAAGACAGGAGGAGAACCCGGCGGCCGCTTCACCCTGAAAATCCACATGCCACTGACGATGTTCGCCCCAGGTGGGGGAACCTCGTCGACGTAGGTGCCTGTGGACTTCCAGGAAGCCATCTCTGCGTCCATGGCTGTCTGCCACTGAGAGGAGTAGGGACCCGCCATCGCCTCTGCGTAAGAGCGCAGGGTCGGGATGTCTGGTGCATCCGGGTCTCCCTCAGGGGCAACTAGCATGGACACGAGATGGGGCAAAGCAGCAGCAAAGCACTGGAACTCCTCCTGTCTGTCCTCAAGGACGTCCGTGCCAAGAGCACACTCACCCCCGACGGACGGAGGACAGACAGACTCAGACTCAGCAACAAGGCTAGCGGCGTAGTCTAGACGACACCGGGCAGCAAAGTCAACCAACTCAGCGACCAGAGCAGACGCAGCAGAGGACTCAAAGGTAGGGTCAGTGACAACAGTGGCGAGGAGACGCGCGGCAGTGGGACTGGCAGCACGACGGGAGTCAGACTCCGGGTCAGGAAGAGTAGGTAGAGAGGACGCAGGAGGAGACGGCAGAGGGACACGCTGAGGAGCAGTGGAGCGACGCAGTGTCATGTAGTGAGTGCCAGGGACAGAAGGAGGACGCTCACGTGGGACACGACGACCAGTGCGAGCAGTACGAACAGGCGACGCAGGACGAGACTCAGGCTCACGACGCTCCGTAAGACCTCCTGTCGGACCAGTGTAAGGGGAGGGACCAGGGAGAGGCGAGGCAGGCGGTAACTGTGACTGCGACTGGACAGGCGGAGGACACTCTAAGGAGGAAGGAGGACAAGGAGGAGGAGTCTGACCAAGAACCTGCTGAAGGAGCGGTACGAAGTAAGGTCGCGGCCGCGCAGCGTCTCCAGAACCAGTAGAGACACCAGCGTCAGGGTCCTCAGTACCAGCAGTAGCTCCAACGTCCGGGTCCTCAGCACCAGCAGCAGCTCCACCGCCCGGGTCCTCAGCACCAGCAGCAGCTCCACCGCCCGGGTCCTCAGCACCAGCAGGAGCTCCAACGCCCGGGTCCTCAGCACCAGCAGCAGCTCCAACGCCCGGGTCCTCAGCACCAGCAGTAGCTCCAGCGTCCGGGTCCTCAGCACCAGCAGCAGCTCCAACGCCCGGGTCCTCAGCACCAGCAGTAGTACCAACGCCAGGCTCTTCAGCACCAGTAGCCCCTGCAGTACCAGGGTCCGCAACACCAGGAGCGCCACTCCGAAGACTGCAGCGCCGCGTGTACCACTCTCGGATCCGCTGAAGGGAGGGGAGCTCCCGGGTAGGAGGGGAAGCACTGGTACCAGCTCCAGCAGCACCTCTCCTGAGGCTGCAGTACTGTAGGTACCTCTCCTGCAGCTGCTGTGAGGAGAGGGCTCCTCCAGGTTGTTGGTGTAAGGGCCTAATAAACTCAAGCTATTAGGACTTAATCAAACTTAAAACCTCTCCTCGGGGTCACCTCCAAGGGTCCCTGGGTGCCTGGTACAAGACCAGCCCCTATCCTCGGGTCCGAGTTTGTAGAGAGAGGGATCAAGAAGGACTTAGTCAAAACAGCAAGAGTACCTTGAACGTCGCGCAGCGTGCCGTGCAGACCGTCGATCGGATTAAGCTGAGAATTCGCTATATCGAAGCTCGCTCCAAGAGCTTTAAAATGAGCCAAGTTGCCTCGCGAAAAGTTCTGCCATTACGAAGTTATGGCTCAGACGGTGTTTGCCTAGCATTAGAGTGCTAGCGTACTAGCGTTGACTCGGGTAGCATTCCGCCGTCGAATAGCGCAGAAACGAAATTCCAGCGAGGAAGGAATTCGCTTGAATCAATTTTACTATATTCAGGTACAAACAGAGAAGGATTAAATAGTTCTAGCTAGCAAGGACCTTGGGAATCAACCTGGGAACAACCAGGGATGATCCAAAATAATTCCAAGCAACAGAACCAACCTGGCTAGACAAAATAGCAGGTGGTAGGTTGGTAAACAACATCTGGTTCTGTTTTTCCAACCTGGGAAAACAACAACCAGGTTCAGGTTCTAAAAACAGAACCTGTTTTGTCTTTGCCCAACCAGCCAAATGCTGGTTCCGCTGGTTTCCCCTGGCCTTGTAGCATGCAGATACAGACAAACAACATCCAACCTTCACCTAAATTGTACCCCTATAGTGCCTTCCCTGCTACACTATAGTTAACCAAACAAAACAGTACAATTTCGAGTTGGATAGAACTGAATCTGCGCAATCAACTCAACTGAACTGCAAAGCTTCCATCTTGGGTTCCTTTGCGAGCTCGTCCTTTCTGCTTGCACTGTTCATAGCGCGTACAATGTTGTGCCGAAGCGCACATTGCGCGAGTACCTGCAAATGCATCAAGCGAAAATTGCGAAAGCAAACAAACACACGAACACACCATTCACACGCAAATGCATTCGCACACGCATACTCGTACAAACAGACGGCAGGATGTCGTGCAATGTGCATTTGCACCCAACACACTCCCCCTCAGCCTGCCGGCTGCATCCCCATCATTCCATGCTAGTTCATGCTCATTCCACTCATGCGCACACAACGCCAATGAGGCTCATCCGCAAGCCTCTTGGTGAGAAAGTCTGCTGGCTGCTGGTGAGTCTTGATGTAGATTGGATTCACCGTCCCCCTCTTCACCTCCTTACGCAGCCAGTGCCACTTGATACGCATGTGCTTGTTCAGGCCATGAAGCACAGCGTTCCTGGCCATCCCAAGAGCCCCCTTGCTATCACAAAACAGCGGCGTAGCAACTTTCTGCTCCTGGCCAATCTCCTCTAACAGCCTCCTCAGCCAAATCACCTCCTTCACCCCATGGAACATCGCCATGTACTCTGATTCTACGGAAGAGAGTGCCGTCTCCGTCTGCTTCTTGGACCTCCAACTAACAGGTCCTCCCCCAACTACGCAGATGTATCCTCCCACAGATGAGGAATCCTCATTCTCGGAAGCCCATGTAGCATCGGTAAAGCAAGTGAGAAATAGCTTGCCTTCTCCAAGCCTCTCCCCCTTCTCTTTCAGCACCTCCACCCCTTTTTGCTTCACCTGTGCAGATGCGGAGTATTGAACTCCAATGCTTGGGTGAGAGTTCAGGTACTTCACCACACGCTCAGCTGCATCCACCTGCTCCTCTGATGGATTCTGCACCACCCTAGCCAGCTGCCCAACCGAGAAAGAGATGTCGGGCCTCGTGTGAACTGCTGCGTACAAGAGGCTGCCCACCAAGGACTGAAATTGCTGCTGCTCCTCGGCTTCAACCCCTTCATCCTCTGCAGCCTTCACAAGCTTGAATTCTGCTGGCAGGGGAGTTGCAACCTTGCGCTCATTCTCAATCCCATACTTCTCCCCCAGCTCCTTGATGAACTTCTCCTGGTGCAGCTTCAACCACCTGTGATCTGGATCCCTCTCCACGTGCATCCCGAGGTAGTACTTTACCTCCCCAAGGTTCTTGCACTTGAAGTTTTCCATCAGTTGCTGCTGCACTTTCTGGATCTCCTTCATGCTGCTGCTGAAGAGAAGAATGTCGTCCACATAGACCAGAAACAGCACCAGCTTCTCCCCCTCGCCCTTGAGAAAGAGACTCTCATCACAGCTGCTGGTCCTGAATCCCATCTCCTCTAAAACAGCTGCCAACTTCTGGTACCAGCAGCGTGGCGCCTGCTTCAAGCCGTAGATGGACTTGTTGAGCTTGCACACCCTGCCCGTACCATCCTCATACCCAGGCGGCTGCGTCATGTACACATCCTCCTCTAAAATCCCATTCAGGAATGCCGTTGAAATATCCATCTGAATGATGAATTTCCCACTAACAGCTGCATCTGCCAACAAGACACGGAGGGTAGGGGGTTTGGCAGTGGGAGCAAAGATCTCGTTGAAGTCATGCTTCTCCTTCTGCATAAACCCCTTCGCCACCAGCCTACTCTTGTAGATGGTGACCTGCCCCTTGTCATCGGTCTTGATCCTCAGCACCCACTTGCATTGTATCGCTTTCTTCCCATCAGGCAGCACCACCAGATCCCATGTCCTATTCTCCAGCAGACTCTGGTACTCAGCATCCCTAGAAGCCAGCCACTTGTCCCTATCTGGTCCAGCTAATGCCTCCTCCATGCTAGCTGGTTCCTCTGGTGCAGGGGCAAGAAAACAGTACGCAGGCTCATCCTCCTCATCCGGGTCATAGCCATGAGGTAGAATCAGCAATGCCTCTTCGGTCCCTAGCTGCTGCTCTGCTGCATCAGTTCCTGCAGTCAGCTTCTTAGTAGCCATACGGGTACGTCCTGGCCTGGAGACGGGTGTCTCCCATCCCTTCATAACGACACCCTTCGGCTTCTTAGTTTTTCCCTGCTGCTTCTCTCCTCCCTCGGGTCCAGCAGCTCCACTAGTGCTGCCGCCAGTTTCCACACCATTTTCTCCACCAGCAGATGCCTCCTGTACCTTCTCTCCATCACCATTTCCAGCAGCTGCCTCCTCTCCCTCCTCCCACACACTAGGAGTCAGGTCCAGCTGCATGGTGATTTGCTCCATCTGCTGGGACACCCTTGCCTCCGGCTGTTTCTCCCAGCTCCCATACATCATGCCCTCAATGAATTTCACATCCCTGCTGTCAAACAACACACCCTTGGATGGTTCCCACAGCAGCCATCCCTTGCTCTCAGCAGCCAGCCCCAAATGCACACACCAGATTGCACTCGCCCCCAACTTACTGCGGTAGGTCTTGGGGACGTGGGCGACTGCCATGCAACCGAACACCCTCAGCATGTCCACCGGCGGCTTCCTCCCAAGCCACCTCTCCAACGGCACCCACGAGTCATCCCCAACCTTGGTGAGCACCCTGTTCCTAGCGACAGTGGCGTGCCGGACAGCATGAGGCCACATAGAATTGCTCAGCCCAGATTCTATGAGCAGCGCCCTAGCTGTCTCCAGAATGGTCCGGTTTGCCCGTTCTGCTACACCATTGGACTGTGGGGTATAAGCCGTGGTCAGCTCTCTCTGGATGCCCTGCTTCTTGAGCCAGGCCGTCATTTCAGCTCCAAGGAACTCACCACCCCGGTCTGTCCTAATCCGCTTCACTACACACTCCGCCTGCTTCTCCACGAATGGCAGCCAATCGTCCCGTATCGTGGAGGCGGCGTGGTCCTTCTGCTTCAGCGGATACGCCCACATCAGCCTGCTCCAGTCATCCACAATTGTAAGAAAATACCGCTCCCCCTTGTGCCCTTGCACCGGCAGCGGCCCCACCAAGTCCATGTGGACCAGCTCCAAAGGCTTCTTGCTCCTGCCAGCCACACTATGGAAAGGGAAACGGGTGAACTTTGAAAGCAAACAGATTTCACAGTTGTCATCGGGTGGCTGTCCGTTCAGCTTCAGACCCTTAACGGCTCCGTCCTTCTCCAGCTGCTTCAGCAAAGGCATTGCCACATGCCCTAAGCGCCGGTGTGCCGTTGCCCAATCTGTCTCCCCAGATCTGGCCGACACTTTCACACCAACCCCTCCAACGGCATTGCACTCCCCCTGGGATGCAGACCCCTCTCCAGCCTGCCCCCCACCATGCCACGCCAGGGCCGGCAGCTGCCACATAGATCTGTACACGTCCTTGCTCTCGTGCAGATCCCAAAGCACCCGATTGCCCAGCTTCCCCTTATAAGTGCGTGCCCCATCCGTGTTGGTGTTCACCCCAGCCTTGCCAAGCTTACGGAGGGAGATAAGGTTGGCCTTCAGGTCGGGGACGAAGAGAACGTCGTGCAGCACCACCGGCTTGCCATCCGCTCCCTTAAACGCAGCTCGTCCCGCACCAGCCACCTTCAACATGTGTCCAGAGGCGGAGCACACTTCATTGATCGGTGCAGCTCGTACTTCGTCCAGCAGGTCCTTGCGCGGCGTCATCGTCCAAGCAGCGCCTGTGTCCAACACCCAATAGTCTAGGGGGTGCAGCTCTGCTCCAACTTTGGCAGAGGCGTCTCCTTGCTCCCCCTTGTCTCCCACATGGAAGAATTGGCCCGCGGTGCGCTCCTTCTTCTTCTCCGCACCGCCGTTGCCCTTCGGGTTGTTGTCGGACGAATCAGCGACCATGTTGGCGCCGTTTTTCTGGTTCCTCCGCGCGCCGCCATCCTGGTGACGATTTTGGGGGGTCCATCCATCGGGTTTCTTATAGCACAAAAACCAGGGGTGCCCTTCCTTCTCACAATACCAGCAACTCCCTTTCATTTTGCCACCAGCACCCGACTTGCCCCCACGTCCAGATTTCGCACCGCGACCCCAACCGGTACCTCCTTGTTGGTCGTTGGAGTCGTCGTCTTTCTTTGCACCGCGTCCAGCACCACCGAAGCCACGTCCTCTGCCACGTCGGCTCCCTTGCATCCTGTAGCCGCTGCTGCCGTCGTCTCCACCCCTCAGTTGGCGGCGACGGAAGTCCTCCTCCAGAATCTTCGTCCGCACCCACTCGAGCGTCCACAAGCTCTGGTTCTGCGGCAGGCTCAATCCGCTCGTAAATTGAAGCCACGATTCTGGCAGCAGCGAGAGCATCTTCAAGCACTTGGTCTGCTCCGGGTAGGTGATTCCCGCGGTCGCCAACTTCGCGTAGAGGTCGCGCATCTTGTCCAGGACTGGTTGCACCGGCTCTCCCTCGCTCAGGCGCAACGCGGACAGCTCCCTCTCCAGCATCAACGTTGCGACAACGGAGGTCGGGGCGTGCAGCTCCTTCAACACGGTCCACGCCTTCGGACCGCATTCAACCTCCGGCAGCAGGTGCATGACGTGGTGACGCTGGTTCAGCTCCAAACTCTGCGACATCAAATAGTAGCCAGCCGAGGAGCGCTCGTCCCAATCTTCCTGCAGCGTGGGGTCACTCGGTCTAGGCTCCTCCCCAATCATTAGTTTCAGCAAACCGATCTGACGGAAATATAATTGCATTTTCCAGGCCCAATCATCATAGCCCTCACCATTGAACTTCTCGACGGTGAAATTCTTCAGCACCTCCTTGACAAGCGAGCCCTGGTTTGTTCGCGCTCCCCTTGGCGCTGAAAGACCAGAATCTTGGCTGCCGCTACGATCTTGGGCTGAAGATTCACCAGCTCCCGCCGAGGTGTTGCCCGCCATAGCTACCTATAACGAGGATCACTATAACGCAGCTCTGATACCAGCTTGTTGGTGTAAGGGCCTAATAAACTCAAGCTATTAGGACTTAATCAAACTTAAAACCTCTCCTCGGGGTCACCTCTAAGGGTCCCTGGGTGCCTGGTACAAGACCAGCC